TCCTTTCAAAAGGATGACGCTGTGTACTGCAGTGCTCCCGGGTTTGGCTGGGAGGGTGTCGAGGTTAGTGCAGGCTCCTCAAGAACCAGCAATGGGTGAGGAGCAGTTACAGCCCTTAAACCCAACAGCAAAACTGCGGCACTGGGTTGTGCTGTATTTCCGAGTGGAAGAAGGATTTATACAGCTTATAAGATGATGTCTCAGACCGTGGAGTAATGCTAATGTGGTGGAGCTTATTACCTCTTCAGTAAGTGTAGAGTGACTTTAATGATGGTGTCTTTTTAATTAAAAACTTCTAAGAAGATCTTAGATCTGAGGTTTGCTAAATTCCCTTCAGTTCGGGGGAAGCGCTCCAGTGTGTGGCACTGAGAATTTGTTTTGTCTGAGACATTATTGCCTGTAATGAACCTTGACCAACAGCCCGTATAAAACCCTGGTTTTGCCGTACGTATGAGGCTGCCAGAGCATTTTATCCAAGAGTGTGTCTCAAGCAGAGTCTGAAGTTTCTGTTCTGAGAGGCTGAACCCGTGAGGTTAATTGGTTAGTTGGATCCTTCACCTCTTGGTGAAACACCAGGTTTAAAAATGTGTTTTACAGAACGCTGCTCTCTGGGGATTGGGCTGAGGCTGCCGAAAGGCTGCACAGAGAAATGCCCATTGCGGCGCCAGCCGGGTCCCTGCTCCCACAGCGACCAGGCTGTGGCTGTTATCCCGTCTCCCAAGGAAAAACAGGCCACTGATGTCTTTTACCTTTTGATATATACGGGCCACTGCATTTTACCACCACCTCAGAAAGAGACATCAAGGGACTTCTCAGATTCTTTCTAGGAAGAAAAATAGGCAACTGCTGGAAACTGGGGGTTTGGCCATTGGTTAGATATAGCTTGTAAAAGAATCCTCCCATTTTCTCTATGTGTCACAAGTCTCTTGTTTTTTAATTTTTGTTTTCAATTAGATGAACTGTTTTAAGTCAGACTTTGATGTATGCTTGCACAAAACAAATTACTAAATAGAAAACTACAGTAAAACATTATGTTGTAAATTGAAAAGAAGGATGAGTGATGCCAGAGAGCAATTCACCATCCAGGAACAGAACAGTCTGTTACTGTTCTGCTTAGTGGCAGAGCTTCCCTTATAGCCACATACATATCAATAACCTAAAAGCAAAACTGGAAATCTCTGTTGTGATAAGTAAGCTTGCAATAACAAAATGAATATTCAAAGTATAAATGAAATGTTTTCTTGTAAGCATCTGTAAGGAACTGTGTGCTGCTGGTCCAGAGTCTCTGGATAGAAACTCCCTGATCTCAGATGGAGGTTGGGGACACATCAGGATCCTGGGGGTCAGCACCACGTGCTGTTTGTTCGTATCTACAGGGGGGAGCAATTCCTTCAGTGAACGTCAAGACCAGACTAAGTCCAGCTTGTTTATAAATACTACAGATAATGAGAAGGGTTTGGGTTAACTAAACAAGGAGAAGTCACTGGAAATTACAGTCCTGGTCTAATTATATTCAGAGGGAGAATTCTGAAGGTCTGTGTGTCTGCTTCTACTGCCTGAGGTCTTGGAGGAGAATAACACTGAGTAAGCGCAGGGAAAAAAAAGAAGCTTGCATTTGGTGTTCAGTAAGAATAATTGCTTTCAAGTAAGTTTGTAAAAATATTTTTTTTAACTGTTGAGATTGTTAACAGAGTCTGAACTCACGTTCTGCTGTCACATTAAGAATTTGGAGAATGTAGGTTAAAAACCATGGCAATTTCTAGAAAAGAGAAAAACTTTGGACTGTTGCATTAATTCCCAGTTCTGCACTGAGATTTAAACTAAAACTGGCACCTGAAGGTGAACCTGGCATGGGGGTGGTGTTGGTAATGAGGCACACAGCTCCTGCATGGAGCTGACTAACGCTGCTTCCCATTCAGAACAGAAACAACCCCGACCCAGCATCCGCAGCAGCCTGTCAGCGTGATGGGCGTAAGAGCACTTGAGCCCCAGGAGCCCGTTTCTGCAGGTTTTGTTCCTCAGCGTTCCCAGGGCTTCCCCCGCAGAAAAGCGCAGTTTTGTTTCAGTAGCGGCATCTCCCCAGCGCCAGTCCTGGTCACTGAGAGAGCAAGGTCAGGGGCACAGAGGCTCTCGCTGCCCTCGGGTTCGAGCATAGTAAATATGCGGGGTGCGATCATTGCTGCGGTGCTGGGCAGGTGTGGAACGGGCACAGCTCCTGCCATTCCCACCCTGGGCTGTGCCATGTCCCGGGAGCGAGAGGAGCCGTCTCACAGCTTGGGAACGGGGATGCGCTGACAGGAAGCATGGGTCGTTGTGCGGGTACTGCCGTTTGTGAGCAAGCAGCCTCCCACCGAGCGCACACAGCCCGGCAGACACAGGAGGGGGGTTTCACCTTCATCCTGCTCAGTGAGGAAGCTGTTCTCTCTTGCTGGTGTAGCTGGATACGTTGCTGGGGTTACCCTTGTGGAAAGGACCGGGTACCATGTGTTTGTGAACCGGCTGTTTCTGACGGAGGAGGGAGGTCCCTGAGGCTGGGGAATGGCTGTCACAGCCCCCTTTGCTCCCAGGCTGGCAGAGGCAGACGCAGAGTTGGCATCAGCACGGGCAGGGCTCCTGCTGCCCTCACCCACCCTCCCGGCACAGGGAGGGGATGCAGGGACAGACCCCCCGTGCACCCCGGCTCCGCAGGGCCGGGTCCTGGGGCAGGGAGGATGAGCAGAGCTTTTTGAGCGCCCCGGGCTGGTGATGCTCCGTCCCGTGTTCTGGCCGGACCCTGAGCTCCAGCAGCTGTGGTGAACCTCCCTGCACACACTTCTGCTGTCCTTATGGCAAGACTTTAACGAGTTACTCCTTCAGTTACACGAGTTAATTGTGTTTGTTAATGATCTTCAGCTTTAAGAAGAAAAATCCTGCATCCGTCTTAATGCCTTGCTGTGGCTACATAGGCAGCCCTTAGCCACGTGTCTGTGCACGTGAGGATTTAATTAAAACCTTAATAACTAAATAATCTCCACACAGTCTAGGCATGTGAGATAGCGCTGTGGGGACATTTTGGGAGTTCCTCAGTTGCCCACCACATTAATATCAAGTATTTTTTATGCTGGATAACAATACGCCAGCTTTGCTGGTGAGGCATGTATAGAGGCTGGGGCAGGTGGAACAGCCAGCCCAGGAGCAGCGGGTTACTTGGGAGCTGCTCGAGGCATGTCCTTTGGTCATGCCACAGCTGAGGGAGGCGCACAGCTCCAGAGACCAACTGAAGTATTCACATCAGGGTGCCTGAAGAGAGTTGCCTCAGTAGACGTGGCCCAGTTCCTTTCTCAGAGATGCCGAGCACAAAATGCTTTCACACTTGACACCAGCAGTCACTTTGCTGGTGGCTGTCAGTACTGCAGGCACCAGTTCCTGCTGCAAGCAGGGGTGAGGGCTGGGCCATGGTGACACACAGTAAATGCCTCTCCTGGTGAACAAGTATCTCGGTGTGTCTGTGAGGCAGGGACAGCCTTAGCTGCAGTATGGCCACGGAGGCCAGTCTGTGCCAGACAACCTCACCTCGAGGGAGCTGGAGCCGTTTCGCCCCTCATGGATGTGGACGTTGACTCCCTGCTGTGTCCCACTGTGCTCTTGTCCTGCAGCTCCTATGCGCATTTTTAATGTAAAATTCTGCTCTTTCCTGTGAAAGGTAAAGAAGATGTCAAGGTCTTCCTGTTCCTGTTCCAAATGAAATGGGCTCATGTCCTGTTAATCAAGGAGTATAGCTGCAGCATTTGTCATTTCCCTTTGAACTAGTGGGTGGTTGATACCTGCCATTTCTCAAGAAACTGTATACCAGATTAAGGTGTATTTATAGAAATCTCTATTGCTAGTAACTTGGCTGAAGCCAAGTTTAGGCGTACCATTAGTAATGCATAATGAGATGGCCTAAGCGGAGTGAGATTTGGGAGGGGGAAGAAAAAGCTATTTGAGTTGGATAGCTTGAGGATGCTGTTTTACTATTAAAATTACGCTTCTGACCCCTGGCTCTGAAGTGATATAAAAATAAATCTTTCTATATTTCTCTTCTGCATTTAATCTTTTATATTAGACAAGATAAAGAATAAAATCTTTCTTTCTCCCTTGTCTCTTTCTGTTCTAGGTACAGGACCTATTTATGCTACAGATCCACTCCTCTATATGGCCCTCTTACTACTGCATCAGCTTGTACATTTGTTAGTAAACCACTGATCGACTGCTTCCTCCATTCCTCTGCAGCCAAGAACCTATTTAAATCTGAACAAACTCCTGACAAACAATACCTACGGTTTTAAAGATAGACAGAAAGAGACTGCAAGCAGCATGATCAGTTCTCTGTAGGGGATAAACATATTTTTGGGGATGTCACAGAAAATAAACCACTTAGAATAATGCATCTAGTTTCCAGACTCTCTGGTGTAAAGCCCTGCTCTGTGCATGGCACTTTTGATTTCTCTATTTTAATGTAATGTTTTTTCTTTTCTAAACCTTCCCTCTGACTCTTCATTTTGCACGAACTGTTGAGCAGTTATTACAATATGTAAAGATGTTGGGTCAAAGCCTTTCCTAAAAAAGGAAATATTTTTAGTAGATTGTTGTGTTTAGGTTTTTTGGATTTCTTTTTTCTTTTTTAATTAAATTATTTCTTTTGGAGACATTTTAATTAAAAAGGTACATCTTACCATAATTAATATTCACTGTCAATAATATTTATTTTTAAATGAAGATGATTGGAAACAAGGTAAGACATTTGTTTATAAACTGTATTGTATATTGCTGGATAACAGTTGAATAAAAAGATTTTGAAATAAAGTTTCTGCAGATGCATGTCCCCTTCCTTGTGCCTGGAGCTCCCTGAGGGCATCAGGGCTGTGTCCCTTCCCTGCCTTGGCTCAGGACAGGCAAGTGAGGAAAGATGCATCACAAACCAATCTGAAGTGAAACCAGTTCTTTATTGCACCCCTCTACACTCTGCCAAACCCTGCCCACACCAGTTGTCTCTGGGCTGTGAGTGCCAGATGTGGTCAGATGGACAGGGGCACGGTGCAGAGCACTCAAGGTTAAGTTGCTGTGGTTTTCCTCAGGCCTCCTGAAGAAAGGTGAATCAAGCCTTGAAAAAATAAAAGAGAAATGAATCAAGCCGGAGTGTTTTATTCCCTAGGGCTGGATCCAGTGTGTGGTTGTAATGTGATATTCAGAATTACATAGTTGTCATTTGTGTTACCAAGTGAGCTGGGGAGAAAGGCTTATTTTACAGTAAATACAGGAGTTATTTTCCTGTTCCAGAATGCTTGGGGTTCAAGTGAGATAATGGGATAACTTGGTAAAGAAACATGACCTTCTTCAGCTGAATTTAGTGAAGTACTTTGAAATATTCTCTGCTACCTGTGATTCTTATCATTTGTGTAGCATTTCAGAAAGGGCCTTGATGTGCAAATGGTGAGGGGGCAGGTGCTGCACCAGCAGGACTCTGCTGGCAGAAGCTGTGGAGCAGAAGCAGGGCATGCCACTGCATCACCTCATACCCAAGTTCTTCTCTAGGAGGAGCGCAGGAAAGGAATTTCCATTCCTCAGTCAGAATTTGCTTTTCTAGGACTGCCAGTAACAGTGAGGGACTTGTGCCTCTCACGTCACACTGGGTGTCAACCAGAAGGCATCTGTCTTCCATACCTGCTACTACACTGTAGTAATAGAAGTCCTCTTGTGCTGAGGCAGACTCACCAAAGGTGTTAAAATCTTCGTAAGGATGTTCACCCCATAACGGCAGCTGTAGCATCCCGTGGATTGAGGAATAATCCATAATCATCCCACAAAAAGAGGAACTGCTCTTCATAAAGCTTGGGGAGGTGGTGGCTGCAAACCTGGAAGAGCATCAGAGGTGAGACACTGAAGAACCATGGTCCTTGGCTTCCGTGTGCTTGGGAGGGTGAGTCTTCAGTAACCTGAAAAGACAGGTGGAAAACAAGATTTCCGTGTAGGACCGTGCGTGAATCAGCTCCAGCGTTCATGTCTGGGAACAGGCTCAAGGGCAGCTACTCTAGCAGTGCTACACGTGGAGTGTGGAACATCACCAGAGCTCTCATCCTTCGAGTCGTGAGAGTGAAACCCACCTGGGTTTGAACTGTGCCTCATCAGCTGCTGCCTTTCCCCAAGGGCAGTGAATATTTCTCTGTGTCTTGTCTTCCTCCTAAGGAAGGGAACCCAAACACATTTTTCCACAAGAGGAAGAAGAAAATCTGCCTGAATTTACCTACAGAAAATGCTGATGTCTGAAGCAGTGCAGTGTGTCTGTGGTTTACCTGCAGCCCTCCCCAGCATGGTCTCTTAGTAAACAGACATCTTTTGCTCTGATACTTGTGTTTCATCACTTACAGAGTACATAATGTCTTGAATTGCATACAGAAACCAGGGAAGGAAATACATCATCCTGCACTTGTCCTTCCCTTGGTGCTGTAGCCTGTTACCTGCACAGGGACGTGGCAGCAACTGGGACTTGTGTGTGCAGTGGCAAGAGCAGAATTATCAAGGTTTTTTAGACTTTCATTACATTAAAGGTGAAAAAATACTAAATCTGCAACTAAAAATAACTTTTTTTCTTATCCTTTTTGAGATCAGAATTAAGTACACCACAGTAGCAATAACAGTTCTTACACTCTAATTCACTATAAAACCTCACAACTACTAAACAATAATCTGAGGATTTGGTTAAAAAAAACCCAAACCTAACGAGCAATAGGCATCTTTTCCATCCAGGAAAGACCTGTACACATGCACACTCATTCCCAGCACACACAGGATAACTTCAGCAAGGGAGCAGCCATAACTTGGCTGTACCTTCACTTTGCTATATTTCAGCCTTCAGAAACAGCATAATGAGTTCTCCAAGTTTTGGGTCCTAGTTTCCACATCTGGACCAGCATTTTTTGCAAAACACACAGCGAGTGGTTGGCCCCATATTTGTGTAGTGCAGAGGAAATAACTGGCTAAAGAGGAGGCTGCAGCTCTTGGTACCCCAATGGGTCTTTACAAAGCACTGAAAGGAATGAGAAACATTTTGATGGAAAAAAGTAGAGAATTTGGAGGCTTATTGCTTGTGAGTGCGTTAAGGACTTCTGCTGAAACATCTGTCCTTGAGAGTGCTAGCTCTTCTGAAAAGGGCAACTGCCTCTCTGCTGCTGATTGTATTTACAGAGGGCAAAGTGAGGTTTTGCTGTACCCTTAATGGACAGAGGCTAGTGGCAAATCTTGCTCTTTCATAAATCTCCGCATTCCTTGTGGTGTCTGCTGTCAGAATCAATTAGGAGTAAGTGCTCAGCCTGCAGAGGCAGGGGAAGGCAGCAAGTCTCCTGCAGTTCTGTGTGGAGCTGGGCAGAGAGTGCCATGGCTGGGGGCCCTGGGGACACAGCTCTTGCCCTGCATGGGGCCAGCACACCAGCAAAGCTGCAGCCCTGGGCTGGGAAGTGAGTGATGGCAGTTGGGGCCAGAGCTGAGACGTCTATAATATAGTCATAAGGAAACACACATTGTTCCTGAGAGAAAATCAATAGAACTTTGCACTTTCCCTTGTAATATTTCCAGCGTGTGCCATCAGCCACATTTGCTCACAGTTACACTGCTATAAATTCACTGCCTGCTACAAAAACAAATGGATTTACAGTGGTGTAACAGCGCCGGTGCTAAAGCCATGTACATGTGAAAATACACGGCACAAAAGTAGTTGTACGGCACTGGTGACCTTCAAAGTACCAAGACTCGGCAAGTAAAAAGCAAACTTACCTAGTTCCCTGTGTGCTCCCTGGAAGAGGACACGTGTGGTCCCCACAGCATCCCTGTGTGTGGCACAGCGCCAGGGCCCCACTGAAGGGAAGGCGGGCGAGCAGCTTCTCGCTGTGATGGAGCACACAGGAGACTGTCTGACCATGGCAGTTTTCACTGCCTGCATAAACCATGCAGGAGCCTAGCCTCACTCAGAATTAGTGAGTAAATAATGTGCTCCCAAACTCTGTGACAAAACTGGGTTGGTTAATGCATGAGCTGCCTCTGTTCCATTTGTTACTGCACAGTAAATTTCATGCTTAGCCAGAGGCTGGCAAAGTTAATTTATTCATTATCCCCAAACTTCGGGCAGTTACTATTCAAACTCCCCTAGTACATCTATTTAATAAGAAGAGAACAGAAAATTGATGGGATCAAAAATGTTAAAGTCTTAATTAATGCTTTTAGCAAAGACTGATTAGAGGGGGGTTGTTGTGAGAATATTAATTTGTAGCAAGAACTAGGGCTGCAAGAAATGGGAGAGTGCTCAAATACCAACACACACAGATGCTGCTGGTGAATAACAAGTGCTCAGATGGCAAAACCTGCACCCGCTGCCTTGGGGCTTCTGTGGTGTGCTGTCCTCTGGCAGCCTGGCAGTGCTGCAGGTCCCTGGGCAGCGAGGCAGAGCAAAGCAGGGCTGTGGCCATGCAGACGACGAGGCTGGGTTTTGTTCACACAGGAACAGGTACAGTTACTCCAAAGGAAAAGCAGCTGGCCCTAAATCAAAGGCAGCAAGATGAAAGCTGTGAGGGATGCTGCATCCCCCATCCTGCCCCAGAGCAGCGTCAGCCCATCCTCTGTGCACAGCCCCGTGGTTTGGCAGGGAAGGGGAAGAGCAGGGGAGGGTCTGTTGCTGTTTTTAGACCCTGTTTCTAAAACCCAGCAATTTCTGCTGAGTGCAGATGGGTGCTACTGAAAATGGGGAAGAAAGATCTATGGTTCAGCTCTGCAGCAACAACAATCCAGAGTTTAGCACTGAGCAAGACTGGGCTTCTAAGGATCCATGCGAGTGTCAATGAATGGACTGAAACCTCCTGTTTTTTCTCTGATGAATGACAGCCTTTTAATTACAGCAATTATGGACAGTCCAAGCAAATCAGTTACAGTAACAATCTACTTGCACAGTGCTGCAGAGTTTGTTACTGGATTTCTCTATTTGTTGCCTATAGATGTGGCTTCCTGTTACTGTTAAAATGTTTCTTAAACCCCATCTGTAGTTCAATGCAAATTAAACGACCACGGTCTTAGTAACTCCAGAATGCTTACAGTTCAATTTTACTTCAATTTACTTTTCCAGTAAGATATTTTTGAATGGACTCTGAGGAAGATGGGGAAGGGACTGTGAAGGTATTTCAGGTTTTTTTCTATTCCATTACAAGATCTGCCAAACACTTTAATTCATCTCTATGTTATTACCCTTGAAACAGGAAGCAACAGGTAAGACTTCAGGAATGCTATCCAGGGTAACAAACAGATGACCACACAAAATGGTTTCTTATTTTTGGATTTTCTTGTCATTTTCCTTGAGAATCTGAAGCAATTGTTTTTTGTTTTTTTTTTCCCTAGAATAGGAATTCTTTATTACTAAATATTTTCCAGGCTTATAAGTTACTCTAACCCACTGAGTATCATGACTCATTTTGACTTTAGGGTGATCTACACATATCTAGGCAGGCGATGATATTTAGGCTGTCAGCTGAAGTCAGCTGTTTTGGCAAAAATTAGGATAGTTCTGATTTTAAAGTGCTGTGGGTTTTGTAATAGCTTTTAATGTCCTTGTTTGTTTTTAACAGACTGGTTCTGCATTCATAGTCTATGGCAAACATGAGATTTAGCTCGAATTACCCATGGCAGAGTCTCTTTTTAATGCATATGCTGTAATTTATTTACTTACTCTTTTGAACAGTTGTACTTTAGTGCTTCCAGAGTTGTCAGAATTGATCCAAGTGACTGATACCTGTCAGTATGTCATTAATCAACTGTCCCTGCAGTTTTAGAAACATGTCCAAATGTCTCCCATGGGGAGAGCTTCTGACTGCTGTGATGGGTGTGAGGAAGGTTGATGTCAGCACTTTGACACCTGCCTTGGTTTGCCTCATCCTCCCCTCCCAAGAGCAGCACAGGGGGCTGCCATGACACGGATAGGAGCAGCCTGGCCAGACACCAGTGAAGGGGCTCGTAACTCAATTTCCCTGTGCGACTCATGTCCTCCCATGGCATCGGGCGGCCCTAGGCTGGGGGACAGTCTGTGCTCTGAGACAGACTCAGACCACCAGTCCTCAGGGCCCGGAGCAGCATCACTGACGTGGTGGTGAGGGCTCTGTTTCTCTGCTTCCTGGGATCCCCTCGAAAGCCCTGACAGCAGACGCAGGGGCTGCAGTGCCATGCTCCCAGAACTGCGCCCAGTGCAGCTCTGGAATCCTCTTGCTCAGTGTCCCAGCACACGGCTCAGCCTCACACGCTCTGCTCCAGCAGGACACTGGGGACAAGGAGAAGCCACCCATCGGTTCCTGAAGGGACCCTCATGTGCCTCAGGATTCAAAAGCCTGCTTTCCCCAGTTAAGCTAATCTTGTGAGCGTCCAACAGGAATAAGGATGGTGTTGAAACACCCCACATTGTTCCACTGAACCTACATTGCTCTGAGCTGTGGAAAGCTGCAGTACCTCGTCAGGGTGCCTTGACACAGCTAAGCCAAGTGCTGTGTGAGCACTGGGAATGTTGATAAACCTTTGTACAAGGACATGGTGCAAACATCTAAATTCAGGCCAGGCCAAGGAGTAACGGTACTGAGCAAGGATCTAGACCAAACCATGTCTGTCAGTGATACCTGTTACTCCGAGAGGAATGCCGGACTCAATAAAATCTGCAGGAAAAGCTAAACGCCAGCAAATCAAATGAGGTTACTAAAATGTACAGTCTGATTAAGGAAACATCAGTTACTTTATGACCTTTACCAAATACACTCATGTTTGTGATTCATTTATGGTAATGCAGTGGAAGACGGTAAAAATACAACCATTCAGTGCTACAGATAATGATAATAGTGTAATCCATTTACTCTCAACTCATATAATCTCAGCTTTATAGTATAGTGGTATAAAAGTCTCAAGTTAGTTAAACGCACAGCAAGGTGCTACTTGCAATCTTGGTTAAAATGAACCTCAGCTTATGGTTAAGTTGCTGGTTGAGCGAATGATTTTGTATCCAAGTGAGCGAGGTCCACTGAAGTGGGCAGCCAAATTCCTCATATAGTGAAATACTGTAATAATTAGTAAGGCTGGCATTTTGGCCTCCAGAGAAGTAAGATAAGACAGACGAGCAAAACTGTGTACGGACCTGTGCACTGACCCTGCTGTGGGTTTGCTGATGTGGCCGCCTTGCAGCATTTCAGCATGCCCGGAGTCAGGAGGATTGCTCGCCTTGTTGCTGCCAGCACTGGGGGCTCAAACCCAACCAAACAGCAGTTAACAGCCACCAGGCACCTGCCGAAGCTGAACTGTAACATGATTTAATAAACCCAGCTTGCCGCTTGTCAAATGTGAGAAGCTGAACTTTCTGCAGATTTTTCTAGAACATAAAATCTCTTTATTAACCCAAGAGTTAATTATATTAAAACCAGAGAGGTCTTATGCTACTTATGCCAGACTAAAGCATTTCACTAAAGCAAACCAGCTCAAATACAAATGTGCGGAGCTTTGCTGGATTCAGGAAGTGTTTGTCAACCTGGTCATAAATGTGCATGGAGAAGTCACCCAGATTCAGGCGCACCACCTGGGTAACCCTGACCTTGCCAGTGCTGGGGTTTGGAGCAGAGCAACACCAGAGAGAGCACTGCTCGTGTGTGGGGCCCCAGACATGGCACGTGTTCACACACCGTGTTCCTCTTCAGTCAGCTGCTGCTGGTATTTACGGGGCTTGGGAAGGTTTGCTGTTTACAGCTGGGAATGTGAGTGCAAACTGGCGAGGGAGGAAGGGAGGCAGCCACAGGGATGCTTACCTGGATGTTGCACACCTCACCTGCCATGGTCTCTCAGGAGCAGGAGACAGAGGTGCTGCCATCATGCTGAAGCCATTTACTCTTAAGCAACACTTCACATTCCCAAACCAGCCAGATGGAGCTCAGGGAGACAGGTGAATAAGCAGGAGCAGCAGGATTTGCCACGGCTTGAAGTTTCCCTCTGCTATAAAACAAGCTTTTCTCAGTGGAGAAAAAGGGTATGTGGTTTTTCTTCTTCACATGCTAAACCATGTGAAGAAGCGAAATAAGGTGTTTTCCCCAATAATGTCACTGATCATGATTTTCACCATGCATCCCTACCTAATTGGGGTGCGTGCTTATCAAGTGCTTAATTTGAGTGCTATCTAGCCTGAGGGTTTAAAGAAAAGCTTAACTCTGCCTGCAAAGTGGAGATCACTGATGTGACATCTGCCTACCAGCAGGCTGCAGGCAACCTCCTGCAGTGGGTGCACCGTCTGACTGCAGCTTAACTTCTGTCCACAGCCCTGCCTGTGTGGTTCAGCAGTTACTCGATGGCCAAAAAGGCATTAAGGAGTCACAATGCAGAGTTTATTTCAGGAGAAAATACTTCAACAGCCCAGGTGACTGCCACGCATGCATTAAGAAAACCAGGACACAGCACACCAGATTTAGTTTAGCTACAGTAAAATAACTGTAGTCGTAGTGAAGCAATGCTGACCCCCAGCTACTAGATGCTGACACCTGGCTTTTGCTGCATAAGAGAGATCAGGTTTCTCTGGTTTGTTTCCTCCCTGTCTCTTTATATATATTTCAAGTATATAGCATAGATTTAGTATTCAGATGTTTAAGACAAACCCCCAACATTTTAGAGAAAGAAGCCCAGCAAGCACAATCCATGGGCTCATGAAATAGCAACTGCAAGTGGAAATGAGCCCATGCAGTGCAACCCCTTCACTTTGTTATATTGCAATGTATTTTCTGATTTTTCATGAGCCTGGTTTGTGTGACCCTGCCAGTATCTAAATTGGTTGTTGAAGTTCCTCTGCTTTTGTCTTATTATAATGTAATTTATGGGATGCTGGAAGTCTGCAAGTTACTTGTACTTGACTGACATTTCTCTGAGAGTCAAAAAAAGGCTGTGTGTACTTGACTGAGATTAAAATTGGTAGACTGCATCTAGCTGTATCCTGCTATCAAAGTGCAGGATTGGAAGACTTCCATTAAATTGTTATTTTCAGTTATTACTAGCTCCTAAATCAGTTCATATAATTTCTTTCCCATAATGAATGCACTGCATTGTAAGCCTAAATGCCATATTTTCTATTGATCTATTTCCACAACCTGTTTAGTGAAATAATTAAAATGATTTACAAGGCTGACCCAGTATCTCAGTGGTTTAGTAAATCATGTGCCTTGTGGGAGGCTCAGAGAGTTTTAAACCCACAGCTCCCAGCAGCAGCAGGACTCAGTGCTGCTGCAGCGCATCCTGGGCTGCATCTTATGGTGCATACAAAGCCAGCCTCCAAAAGACTGTCTTCCAGTGCTCAGGTGGAACAAGGGCTCCAGTTGGTTTGTTCCTTCATCACCCCTGTTCAAAGCAGGAACACTTCTTGGTGCTACCAAGCTGGAGCAGAACTCGAGCTGCAGCCTACAGGTAACGTGTCTTCACTTGAACATCTTCAACTTGAACACCCCTGTTTTCCATCCTCAGAGTCAACCCCACATTATCTGTGACGGCAGCAAAAGATGGCAGCAACTGTGGAGCTTAGTATTTTTGCATGCAAGACAATGTGGGAAATGATTCTTTCTATCTTCTTCTGGTTAGTTTAAGTCATAAGAGGACAACTGTAAACACAATCTCTATTTAAAGGCCAGGGTTATGGAAGGGCTCTGTAGCATTCAGCAGTGTCAGAACAGACATACACCAAGGTATGCCCCAAAGTCTCTTCGAATCTCCCAGGTTTCTTTCTAGCTCACCTCCTGGTCTTACACAAACAGGAGCCCTCGGAGCAGGGTCAGACAGACACTGCAGCAATGCCTGGGAGGAGACACAGCAGCCAGTCCCTGTAGCAAGAGTGGGAAGAGCAAACAATATTTAAAGTACTATTGTGAAAAGCTGCCAGTAATGCTTTTTTCCCATGAAAAATGAGCATTTTGACAGCTGCGGTCTGGAACAAAAGGTATTGAGCTGACTTCTGTGCGATGAGGGCAATGGCTACGAAGGAGAGTACAGCCAGGGTCAGCCCCACCAGCCCTGCAGGGAGGACACCCCTGGGGACACACAGCGGGCAAGGAGGTCACAGACCTCCATCCACAGGAAGGACAGAGCCCATCGCTCTAAAATCCATCAGCATCTGAGACACTATTTATAATGTCTCCACTTACAACCCCCGAGCAAGGCTCAACCTTGCTTTCAGCATCTGCTGCATTTTTTATAGTTCTATTCTTTTGCGTAATTATACAAAGAGAAGAAAAACATCCTATAAAAACTTAAATATTTGCAGACAGTTGCTGGACGCACTTTGCTGCGGATGTTATTATCCTCCTTCCCCGACACTAACCTACCACCATCTCTGCTTTGATTCAAATGGGCCTGTAATTTCACAATATGAATTCAGCTGGAACTACTATTTTTCTTAAGTGAACTTTGCCAGAGCAGCGACTGCTCCAGGCTCTGAAAAGGAACACATCTTGCGAATGTTCCAAAGCATGTGTCTGAAATTCAAAACAAGTGTTGGTAAATGGGCTGTAATCACACTGAAGGGCAAGCAAGTATTCCTCCTCTAAGGCAGAAAACAACAAAGGGAAATCCGCTTTGCTTCTGCTGCCTCAATGCTGATAATTTACAGATCAGAAGACTTCTTTAGAAAGAAGCCTGCTGTGCTGCAGTGTGTGTTTCACAGCTGAAATACCTACAGTCATGCCTTTAATGCCACACCTGAGGTGTAAATCAGAGCCTTACCTCTACAAGCACCATGCACCCAGCAGGAGCTCATGCTGCCTGCAGCAGAGGGTCTGTGTGGAGGCACACACCAGCAGCAAGCCCTGACGACCCCAGAGTCACCATGGCACAGTGTGCTGTGTTAACAGCATCCATCCTCCAACACAGGCAGCTGCATGTACGAGAGCTTGGCAGCCGTGACCCGTACGACTGAAACTGGACACAAGGGTCAAAAAATGACCTCAGAGAGGGACTGTAACACACAAACATGCTCTGCTCGTGTGCACAGTGGGTAACAGTCCCCTCACTGCCTCCCACATCAGGCAAAAGTCCCTCACTTTGGTGTCTGTCCGGCCTCAGAATCAATTTTCTGCAGAACATGAGAGCCACAAACCAGGCGCGGGGCAGCTCTGTCAGGGGTAGGTGCCACATCACTGACAGGGTCCTGAGCAGAGACTTGCTCACTGTGCCACCCCAGACAGCACACGAGGTTCTGTTAGTGCTTCTGTGCCAAATGGTCCTCCCCTGCACCTCCCCTGTGCCCCCACCAAAGCCCCTTTGAGTTTACTGTAGTCTCAAATAAGCACTGTAGGTAAAACCCACCACTGCAGCACTCCTAATTTCACACTCAGGTAACTCTTAGAAATCCCTTTAACCCACGCCAACACCGAGTGACTCAAGCCATTTGCTAACTAGGGCTCTGTACTAACTGAGCTGTGGCAAAGCAGAGGATCCCCTGGCAGCTGCCTGCAAATGTGGTTCAGGCCAGTTTTAAATCTGTGACCAGTTAATTCTGTTTAGAGGATCTGCTTTTCTCTCTCCCTCATTCTCACCCACTATTCAGTTTTTAAGAAGGTGCTTAATACCACTTGAACTCATCACTGGCAGGATGAAAGCTCCTCCTTCTCCTTCCCCTGATGTTTTGTCCCACTGTAAAATACATAAATTAATTTTATGCTAAAATTAACATATATTGCTGAGGCAAATGAACTGGCATCTCCATGTATACCTATTAGCTTCCAGCATTTCCTGAGAGGGGCTTTATTTAATTACCAGCCTGAGAGGCTAGCTCACTCCAGAACTGCAGCCGCATTTATTAGTTATCTCCTTGGACACCTGCCTCTCTGCTGTTTATCAGATTTCCACTGGAGATGGATAAAATATTTTCTACTGCACCAGATTATTGTTTCTTTAAAAGGTACTTACTAGAGCACTGACCTCAAACAGGGTTTTTCTGCTTGGCTTTGGATGGGTTGGGCTTTTTTATGCAATTATCAAAGCAATCCAGCAGCATTAAGCCCCTCACGGCCCCACCACATACTGGCAGCTCAGAAGAAATCACAGTATGGAAAGGGAGCTGAAAGCCTGAACACCCTGCACAGAAAGACCCTGCCTGCAGTGGCAGCCAACCTCAGGTGCTGTGACTTCTTTTCATCCTCCCATGTATGAAAATATCAAGTGGCAAAGCCAAGAGACTCCCGAGCACATGGCTCAGTGCCCTTCACTGCAGTCCAGCCAGAGGGATCTGCCCAAATTGCTCGTGATGGTTTGGGCCACGCTTTACATGACAATGATGCCTCTATAACTGGTTGATAAAAAACTAATGTAGACACAATTATAAAATGCTGCCTACATGCATTACCAACATAGTCACAGCCAGTGTTATGGGTGCTAAGAAACCTAAGCGACCAGGGAGGGTAAAGCAGCTCTCAGCTCCTCTGCAGGACAATGCTAGTCAGGTGTAGACTGTAGCCATGGGTCTCCTTCAGCCCAGCTTCAACAGAGTAAGAGTTTCCACTTGTTTTCCTCTGGGTTGCACTCCTGAGTTTGTAGAGACACACATTTAAACCAGTGTGACCTGATGCTTCAGGGTGCCTCAGCAGACAAGGCCTTTATGTGTATGTACTCAGCAACACATCTCTTTGGAGATGCACGAGCTGACTCCTGCTGAAGAGAATGGTTCAGTCCTGATAGCCTACGCATGTTACTGAGAAAGAGTGTGGCAGGAACAGGGTCATGCTGATAGCGATGCCTTTGAGAAAGGTGACTCATTACAGAGGAAAAATGAGAAAGTGTATTTGTTTAATTAATGAACCTTTTCAACTTTCTCAGGATTTCACCCCAGTTTGTAACTCCAGGCATGTTTGGCATGAAGCACCGGCTGGCTGCGAGCTGTGCAGGAGGCAGCAGAGCTGCAGACACTGCTCCCCCATGAGTGAGAGCCCCTTAGCCGGAGCGTGCCACGTTCCCAGCTCTTCAGCACCTGCTGGGAATGGAGCAAAAGATGCTGTAGTGAAACATACGCTGTTTTAACAGGAGCCTTGTGCAAAACGTGCCTCTTCTCTCCTGCCACTTCAGTCGTAGTCAGCACCACTTCACCTCACACCAGAGCCCCAAGGTGGAGATACACACAAACACCTTGTTTATGTTATGTTGATGTCCAAGATAACTGGGGTTTGAACCCAAAAGCTCTTGATTTGTATTATTTTTAAATGTTAATGAATTATGCTAATTGTATGTAGTTTAACCAAAACCAAATGAAATACATTCTACGGGCTGGTCTGCTGTAACTCCAGTGACTATTATTACTCCATAATTTATCATTTTTAATACTCATTTTGCATCACACATGACTACCACTAGTCAATGCTAATTTTGTTTTAAAATGAAATATTCAACAAGATCTAAATGTGATTCAAAGCACAGCAACAGTAATGGCTGGGAGACAGACTGATGGAATAATACATGAATGCAGAACGTTGCTATTAATTAGTAAATACAAGCTGTTCAGGAAAGCAGCAGTGGATGTTGCCCTGAGGTGGGTTTGGATCATATGTGATCTCAGCATGCTGGGGAACCAAATGTCTGCTGCCAAAGCCTCAGCTTATGGACTCCCCATACAGAGAATGTAGTGGTTTTTTACTGTTGCTCTGCATGGCAAAGCTGGGCAACTCTAGTTTGCAGCAGTTATCTCCAGGTATTCCAGGGTCCCTCATATTTTTAATATTTAAAGATGGACTTAGCTTCTTATTCTGATGTAAGGCTATACTGGTATTTAGAAGAGTGCCCTCCTAAACTCGTGGGGAAATTGAATTCCTTCAAAATCCTCTTTCCACTGATAATTGTACCGTGATGCAGAAGAACTGGAACTGGATACCTGTATGCAAAAAAAAAGCTGCAAACAAGCAAATTTCTTCCAAAACAGGAAACCATTTTAAAGCTTTTTTTATTATTATTTTTAGACTTGAAGCAGGCAGGAACAGGTAGAGAGAACACATACAGGAGCCTGTGGCTGCGACCCCGGTCTCGGGCTGCCCTCTAGTGAGATCAGCCTCCGCGATGGGTGCTGCAGCCGGCCTCCCAAACAGCTCCCTTCTTTTGTTTTTGTTTTAAACCCCAGCTTTTAAATCCTTGACATTTTCTGGAAGCATTTTGGGATTACTATTTGCGTTCTGATTTCTGTGCCACTAGGATATATTTGGACTGGGTTTCCAGGCACTTTCTGTTTTCCTTGCACACAGAAAAGCCAGTCTCTTATTTACCCTGAGGTAGTACCTGCAATCTGAGGTAACAGGAGCCAGGACTCTAAGGATAAAAATGAACCTTACGATGGAAAGAGCAGTTAGTCAGCTGAGGGGTAAGACGACACACGGGATGGACAACTGGAGACACCCATCTCATCCTAACCCATGAGTCATACATGAGCTGAAAAAGCAGAAAAACTTACAGGAAAATAAATAGAAAAGAAACACTCAAGGAAAACAGGGTACATCAAAAGATGATGCTCATTAATGAAACACAGCCATCTAAAAGCAGTCAGCCAAGCCCATAATGCAAGAGTCTGGGTTTCCATACACAGCACCTCCAAACTTCCCTCTAGCAAACCTACACTGACATGAAAACGCAGGCTACTAATACCAATACTCCATCTACCCGCCTTGCTAAGTGGCAGCTCTGCCCCATGACCCTTTCCTAGACCGGTTTCTGCAGGGAGCCGCAAGTCCCAGATCCCTGGAAGTGCATGCACGGCACATGGCACACCAGCACTGCCCAGGTGCTGCACGGTGGAGCCAGGGGAAACTGGGGCGTGCAGGGTACCGGCAGCCACAGGGCCCGGGAAACATGGGCACAGAGCACCCAGGCCAAAAGAAGATGTCAGCACAGGGAGGAAAAGGCAAAAGCGATGGTGAGATGCACGCAGGAGGTGGAGGGACGGCCACGGGACCCACGCAGGCTGGATGCATGTGGGAAATTGGCTGGCAGTTGTATTAGCAGCTGGATATTTGGATAGAGGGAATCAGTTCAGAAGAGCTTAAATGGAAATTACTTTCACCAGTACAGATATCTCTAAGGACCACATTTAGCTGCTAATAAAATGTGGCCAAGAGGAATAAATTATATTGATCTTGAGAGCTCACATGCTTGCTGAGACAGTCCTTCTGGAGAAGGATGGTATTCTCGTACCAGTGACAATCTGCAAAGGTTAACTGTGATTATAGCCCAGTCACTTTTTACACACACCACTTCACTTCTCATACTTCTGCTCATCTCTCTTCAGCTCACAGTGACTCTTTGTAAAAAAATCACTGGTCTTCTATTCTTGTGTCACACAAATATCCTTAATTGTGGTTTTATTATCTTTAATTATCTTTGCTTAGCCTGCATCTTGCCTCTTAGTTCTCTGTGAGCGCCAACATAAAGCTCTTTCTGTGACTGCTCTCCCATCGCAGCCCTCCCGCAGGACTTCGGTGCAGCAACACTGCCCCCTAGTGCTCACGGTCAGATCACCCAGCGCTGGGCTTGTGCGTGGTTCGGGGTTTCAGACTGGTTTTTAGAAAGCAATAAATAAAGCCATACCCAGACTTAGCAGACTCGGATATGCCAGTGTTGGCACCTGTAACTTGGTATTAATAATATATATTAGGGATTTACATCACTATAAACCTATTCCAAGGTGATTTACTTGAAGTAAAAAGCTTGAGAAGTCTGAGGCACTAAGACATGCAGAGCAGTTGATGACGCACATTTGGAAACACGCATTATAATTATTTTGTTTGAATATTTCCACTTCAGTTTCTATTCACATTTTACCCATCTCTCCTCATTTATGAGCCTTCTTTTTCTTATTTACAAATTGTCTTTGCCTATTCAGTGGTTTCTCAGTTTCTTCACTTATCCTTTTTCACATTTATTTGATGGGACTCTCAACTCCTGACACAGAGCCTTCTTGCTGGGACACACACTTAATGCACTCACCTCACTCCCTCAGACATTATATCTGAAGATAAATTGAGAAATGAAGACGTAGAGCTGTTGGAAGAGACTGGTTTCCCCAGGCACTAGTTTAGCCTGGATCACTGGATTTACAACACCAGCATCGCCACCACTGATTTGACTATTAATCCCTGAAGTGCCCTAGGAATTGCAGCATAAATCCAGTGAAGGAGCACTCATATGGCCCTAAAGACCCATAGCACTTATCCTGGTACTCCACTCATGAAAATTGATGTTTTTTTAGTAGCAATGACAACTCAAGGAGTCCATGCTTTGTAAAACCAAGCAATCTGCTTGCTGTAGCATATACTTAACTGCCAGGAGGTCTGTGATACAAACCAGCTGGTGCTCACACTTAATACCCTGCAGAGACTGGCCCTTTCTTTACACACATGCAGAGATCCACAATTTCACTCCCTGTTAGGGATCACTTTATTGCCTTTGTGCTTCACAGCAGCACTTAAAAACCCACCATTTCCTATATCCTGCCTGAAGTAACTTGTTCCCTAAGTATTCTTCACCAAGCAGTGATAATTACCTGCTAAGCCAATACGCCTCCATGACATGCATATAGAATCACAGAATAATAGAATCGTTAGGGTTGGAAAGGACCTTAAGATCACTCAGCTCCAACCCCCCTGCCATGGCCAGGGACACCTTACGCTAAATCATATCACCCAAGGCCCCGTCCAACCTGGTCTTGAACACTGCCAGGGATGGAGCATTCACAATTTCCCTGGGCAACCCATTCCAGTGCCTCACCACCCTCACAGGAAAGAATTTCCTTCTTATATCCAATCTAAACTTCCCCTGTTTAAGTTTTAACCCGTTACCCCTTGTCCTGTCACTACAGTCCCTAATGAAGAGTCCCTCCCCAGCATCCCTATAGGCCCCCTTCAGATACTGGAAGGCTGCTATGAGGTCTTCACTCAGCCTTCTCTCCAGGCTGAACAGCCCCAACTTTCTCAGCCTATCTCCATACAGGAGGTGCTCCAGTCCCTGATTATCCTCGTGGCCTCCTCTGGACTTGTTCCAGCAGTTCCATGTCCTTTTTATGTTGAGGACACCAGAACTGCACACAATGCTCCAGGTGAGGTCTCACGAGAGCAGAGCAGAGGGGCAGGATCACCTCCTTCTACCTGCTGGTCACGCTTCTTTTGATGCAGCCCAGGTTACGGTTGCTTTCTGGGCTGTGAGCGCACACTGAAGCCGGCTCATGTTCATTTTCTCATCAACCAACACCTCCAAGTCCTTCTCCGCAGGGCTGCTCTGAATCTCTTCTCTGCCCAACCTGTAGCTGTGCCTGGGATTGCTCCGACCCAGGTGTAGGACCTTGCACTTGGCATGGTTAAACTTCATGAGGTTGGCATATAAATCCCTTCTGTATTTGGAGAACCATCATGTATGAGCAGGTGGCAGCATGGGTTGGGACTAGGCTGGCAAGGAAAAGGAATTGGCTGCTCTGGTTTAAAGGTACCTCTATGTTGTACAGTGAGCAAGACTTTGACTTACCCCAGAAGGAAAGAGGCAGTGAGGTATCAGAGGTAGTAAACTCCACAGCCAGCAGCATCTCCCTGATTTTTTGACCTTTGTTGCTAGAAACATAAGGACAGATTTTAAACAAAGATACAAATCAATACTCAAACAACAGACTTGTCTACTCCAACTGTATGCAACCCTACTGAAGTGGTAGGTGACTAGAGAAAATGAGGTGGCCTACGTTACAGAATATATGACTGGCAAGACTTTTAACAGAAGTAACTGGGTTATCTGGTGCTCAGCTTACTCTCCCAAGTCAGAGAATTTTTAGTATAAAAGAGATCAACAATAGATTTCAGTTTGTAAGACAATCTCTTTGACAGCTGAAAATTAATGTTAATTTTGCATCACAAACTCTACTGAAATAAACCTGTGACTTGAGTAATAATAGTAACGCTACTGTTTGGACATGTAACAAAAATTAAAGGTATTGAAAGTATCAAACTGACCCTATCTAGCTTAATCTAAATGGCTAATCTAACAACCTACATCGGCCACAGCTTCCCCCTTTGCAGAACCTCATGGCTGAGATAAGCAATGGCACTTCCCTGTTTTACATGTGGATTTTGGTCTCAGTGATGGTTTCCCTCTAAACCCGAGCTTAGCACAGCTTGTGATTTATGAGGGACACCGAGCTCCTGGGGACCCTGGTGCCAGCCGTTAAACAACCCAGAAACACGGCTGCTTGTGGGGGCTCCTCTTCCTGGGACACCTTAAACAGAGAAGCCTCTGAAATCTGAGGTTAAGGGTGGGATTTACTACCCGAACCAGCAGTAGAGATGGTACCAAGATGGTATTTATTCTGACATTCCATATACTACAAACTCTTTTAGCAAGCAGAATGTAAGAGTTTCCTTCCCACCCCCCGTTTTCTGGCTCCTTGTTCTAATAAAGTTTTGACATCCCTTCCCGTTTGTCCCATGCGACTGTCAGACACCAGGCAAGGCCAAGGGAGCAGCCGGGCTCACCATGCCCAGGGCCTCCCGTAGGGCCCACACAGCTCGCGAAGAGAGCCAAGGCTGGTGCGCTGTATGCCTGTGCGGGGCTGCGCTGTGAGCCGGGTCGGTTGTACCCGAGCTCAGCCGGTGCCGCAGCGTCCGAGCCGGGCAGCGGTTCCTCGCAGGCCCGCTCCAGGCTCATGCAGCTCCGCGGGGCCCGGGAGCTCGGCACCTCCGGGCCCTGCTGCGAGGCGCGTTCAGCGCACACAGCGCACACGGCGCACACAACGCACACGGCGCACACAACGCACACGGCGCACACGGCGCACACAACGCACACAACGCACACGGCGCACACAACGCACACAACGCACACGGCGCACAGAGCGCACACGGCGCACACAACGCACACGGCGCACAGAGCGCACACGGCGCACACAACGCACACGGCGCACACGGCGCACACAACGCACACGGCGCACACAACGCACACGGCGCACACAACGCACACGGCGCACACAACGCACACGGCGCACACAACGCACACGGCGCACACAACGCACACGGCGCACACAACGCACACGGCGCACACAACGCACACGGCGCACACAACGCACACGGCGCACAGAGCGCACACGACGCACACAACGCACACGACGCACACGGCGCACACGGCGCACACGGCGCACAGAGCGCACACGGCGCACACAACGCACACGGCGCACACAACGCACACGGCGCACACAACGCACACGGCGCACACAACGCACACGGCGCACAGAGCGCACACGACGCACACAACGCACACAACGCACACGGCGCACACGGCGCACACGACGCACCCGCCGCACCCGCCCGGTGCGGCTCCGCTCACCCCCGCCCCGCGGCCCGCCCCGCCCCACCCGCGGCCCTCCGAGCAGCCGCGCGTCGCCTTCGTCGCCGTCACCGTCACCACCCGCGCCGGAAGCGCCAGCCGCCGCCGCCGCGATGGAGGGTGAGTGCCGCTGGGGAGCGGGGCCGCGCGGAGGTGGGGAGCGGGGCCGCCCCTGACGCGCTGTCCCGCTCCGCCTGCAGTGCAGCTGTACCGACGCCTGCCGCCCCAGGAGACCAAGGATCTGCGCCTCCAGGTACCCCCGGCCGGACGCCCGGCGAGGTGTCCGGGAGCGGCGCGGGCTCTGCTCTTCGTGCACGCCGCCGTATAAAAACCCTGCTGGGAACCGGAGGTACCGGTTGTCCCCGCTGGGGGCCACGCAGCCGTTCCCCTCCCAGACGCGTTAGTGACAGTGGCGTCGGGTAACGCGGCTGGTGTGAGCTGAGGTGCACGAGGGTGCCGCATGTGAGCGTTCTCGGGTAACTGTTACTGTGCGTGGCACCGCGATAGAACCGGTCAGCAGCAAGTCAGTAACATTCAATTAACATTTCGTATTTTAAAGTATCTTTTAAAATACCTTTAGCCTCAGAGCTCAGAAGAGGCCAAAGCATTTGTAAACGCCTTCCTGAAGCTTAGCATGCCAAAAAAGAAAGACCAAGCTATCCAGGACATGCTCACTCGGAAAGCCGTGGTTCTTGAGCATTATGCCAAGAAAAAGACGAAGCAAAAGGGGAAGAAAACCAAAGGTTTTACTGCCAAACAGAGGCGAGAAATGCATCTTTTTGAAATTGAACCCAAGCAGCAAAGGTAAGAGCTGAACTATTTTCTTCGTGTAATAGTACATCAGTTGTATGTAAAAGCAGCGGCACACACAAGTGAGTACGAGCCCTTCAGTATGTACAGTCAGTGTGACTTCTGTCCTGTCTCTGAAGCTGGTAAATTAATTCTCCACCTGGTCTCTCTCCTTTTACGTACCCAGCTATGAGATCAGACCCAAATACAATCACCCCTGATTTCAGGTTTTCATTAGAGTGCCTGTGACCAGAGAGCCAAAGCTCTGCAGTAAGGTTCCTCAAACCACTGGCTAAAGCCCCAG